TGGGTCTGGGAGTCTATGTTGCAGCAGGTTACTTGTGTTTGAGTCTGTCTTTTTACCATGTATCATGTGTTTGGTTGGTTTTGCTGTCTTGGTTGGTTTTTCTTTCCTCCTTGCAGTTAGGATTGGTGTGAGTTTGTCTGATCTGTTTTTTCTGTTTCTTTTAGTTGCTCTTAGTGTGTTTTTTGCTGTATTTGTTGGATAGTAGTCTTGGTTTTTTAATTTGTTGGGGGCCGTGGTGTGTTGGAGCGGGTCCCGGTTGTTTTAAAGGATGATTTGTATTTTCTTGGAAAACTCTTTTTGAATTTTGAGGTCTGCTCTGATGCAGGTGAGTCTTCCGAGCCCAAGTCAGTTAAACTTTGTTGTAAAAAAAAACGGTTAAGAAAGGAAACTCTATAATCTAATTTTATAACTCAAGCTATGCAAGAAGCTCACAAATGCATACTTATTCTTAATAAATTTGTAAACATACATTTTATAACTGATTGTTGATTATGGAAGAAGCTCACAAATGTATATTTATACTTAATAAATCTGCAAACATAAATTTTATCATTGTATCAACTTGCTGTGGCTGAAATACATAAAATTAATGTGTGTGGATACAAACAAAAGATACATAAAACACAAAATGAATGGTTTATGTGTTCACAAATCTGCAGTTTTTCCTAACTTCTCCGGTTATGAAGCTTTCTGAATTAGTGATATTTCCCATTTTGACCATTGAATCAGAGAATTGCTGGAAGAAAGCCAAAGGGTCTGCTGCATACTTCTTGACAAGCTCTCTTGTTTCGATTCCAAACACACTCGAATACATTTCTTGATCAGAGTTAAGAACTCCCTCGCCTTTTAATAGCAACTGGTAAAAAGAATTGTCGAAGAGATTAGGCGTAGCATAGTCCATTGCTGTTTTGTTATTATACCCTCCTCCAATTGGTGGACAGACAGATTTAAGGTTGTTGAGCTGATTATCCGAGATTGGATTTTTTGCTGAAGTTGATTCGTAGTCTCCGTATATTCTTGATCGAAAATTCTGACACCTTGCCATACCAATGGTGTGTGATCCTGCATGGTTTGTGATCAGAAAAGAAAAGGCCTGCTTGATTTGGTTTTTAGAAAATGTTTTACAAGAATAAGAACATACCTACAAGGGCAACCATATCTGTAACTGATAGGCCTTGATAAAGAAACTTGGGAATGATAGATACAAGGCTCTCATCCGAAGTTGGAAGATTGGTGTTAGTAAGATCAAAACTTGCAGTCACAGAATCTTTTCTTCCAACAGGAACATCCCAGTATGGTCCACCAACCTACAAGAAATCAAAGGACAGAGAGATGTCATATTTCCAAACTTGTATCAAAACCGTCTTTGAGAATGTGCAATGCAGATGACTGTACAGGACTCAAAATTTGACATGGTCAAACAATGGCTAAATAGGATTTAATAAAATATATATCACCCTTGAACCGTGGTAAAGTAGGGATCCTATTTATTTTTCATAGTAAAACTATAACTAACCTATGCAGGGCCCCAGAAAACTTAAGACGGCCCTGACTTGTATGAGAAAAAGACTAGAATTTGTAACACATTTTGTTTCTTTTACCAGAATCACGGCATCTCTAGCTGCAATTGTGAGAATATCAGCACAAGAAACAATTCCAGGGCACTCAGATTCAACAAAGTTCTTGATTTGATCTATAATTCCAAAGCCTTTTAAAGAGTGGATGTTCGCAGCGGCTTTCTTTTCACCTTTGAGCGTGATTGTATCGTCGAGCAAGATCGATCCATCGCACCCCTGATTGCATAATATCACTTTTAATTAGCATGGATTTACTATATACTGTACTAGTATGATTCTAATAAAAGCCACACTTTAAAACTTGAACAAAATCACACATGATCTTGCCAAATGAAAAAGACAGACAAGTTTTTGAGACCTGAATAAAGCAGTCATGGAAGTGAAGCCGGAGAATGAAAGCTGCGCTACGGGGATTAGAAAGAATTGAACATTCCATTTCCTTCCTAACAATATCAAACACAGTAGGACAAGTTGATGCATAGTAATCAAGTGTTAATTGAGGCTCACTTGCACCAAGAAAGCCAAAGAAAAAAACAATATGTAGCAAGAAGAAGAATTTCAAAAATAATGAAGGATTCATTGTTAGTTTACTATTAGAGCTTAGCTTGAGAAGAATGTAGGGTTGGGGAAATAGATAGGAATAACAGAATATATATATATATATATATATATATATATATATATATATATATATATATATATATATATATATATATATATATATATATATATATATATATATATATATATATATATATATATATATATATATATATATATATATATATATATATATATATATATATTGACCCTTTCCATGCAATTGCTGTTTGTTAAAGATAATTTTAAAAGTCAAGAGAAGATGCAACTAATATGGCCTAGTTGGTGAGTGTTCTTAAACTAAAAGTAACATTCTTAACACACACAAAGAAAGATTGAGGTATAGCTAAATAAAACAGAAAAAGTGATTAAAAGTGGTGTGACCAACATGTGTTTGTTGTTATCTTTCTGTCGTTTTTGAGACAAGTTTCAACAATCCAACAGTAAATAGGTTAGGTTTATGAGTACCACCTAGCATTACATCAGCTTGATTTAATTTATGAAATAGATATCAATCTAATTTTGCTTACCAAAAAGTCATCTTTCTTTAAGAGTATGATACATTTCCACAAGTCAAATAGTCATTTTATATGATGTCAATTTGATTGCATATGAACTTAATCAAATTCTTACTGGTTTTACATAAGAAAGAAAAATCTTACACGAATTGAGTCATGGTTTTAAAGTGCACGATTAAGAGTAGTTAATTATCTTTATATATCGGTGCAAGAATCCACAAATTTCTCATCTATATTATTGACTATCTCTCTTTTAACCCCTTTTCTCCTTAATTCTGATCTCATATCTCCCTCCAGGTTGTGTTGGAGACAGATGAAAGTTAAAAACTTGGTCATATAAATGAAATTTTGGCTTATAATGTCCCAACTATGATTTTTCCTACAATAATAATCATTGAAATATATTTTACTTACTCTCAGCAATAAGCTAACAATTCATCATCAAGCTATGTTAACCCAACTTCACTTTAGAAGCTTGATTTTCTATTAAGAGCTGTTTGGATTAACATCTTATTAGCTTATAGCAAAAGTGCTTATTCAAATAAATGTTTTTATGAATATACTTGCATAAACTATTTTTATAATAAAAGATAAAGTAAATTTAAGTTTTTTTTATATGATACATGTTTTTTCTATAAACTATCTTTTAGAACTTACATAAATAAGTTAAAAATTTGTATGAAAAATGTCATAAGATGTTTCAGTAATCTCTCAAAAACAGTGTCATAAAAATTTACGTAAATTGATAAATTCAAACAAGTCAATTCATATTGATATCGATCCTACATGCAGAAGTAAAATGAAATCGAGAGACAATAATATTAGCTCAAGTTCAAACTAAAATAAAAATAAAACAAGGACGTTTTCAGTTCTATGCCTTTTTATCTGCAGCCCATTCTTTTCTCTGTTCCATGTCTTAAATTATATACAATTAGTTTGACATATTTTGTTTTTTTATTTTACAAAAATAAATCATATTTCAATCATACTATCCTCTCTTTTATGAACCTTTCTTTTAAAAGTCTAACTTGGCTTAAAGATTAAAAGGTTAAATTTCTATGATACACTTATTATATGTTTTTCTATTTTTCCTAAACGTGTTTGAAAGCAACAAAAGAGTAATAAAGAGCAACATAGAAATAAAATACATCAAACAATACTACTAAGAAGAAATCAATCAATAAAAATAATAAAATAAAGAATACTTATCAAAAATCCAAGATGCAAGACCAAGCTGCTAACAAAGGTCTTAGTGCTGGTAATATATTAGATCTCAAACCGTCAGATCTCTTATCAACATATCAAATCCAACAAAATAACACTTGATTCGATATAGGTGTAAGTAGAAAATAGGATTTTAAAATCATTCAAAAAAGAAGCAAAAGTTCACCTCTGATTTACCTAAAAATCATTTCTAAGTCAAAAAGATACTCTTCTTTTCCATCTCTTTCAATGTTTTTGTGATTCCGTTAAAGATAACAACATCACTGTGGGCTTTTCAGATAGACCAAACTACAACATGTCAAACTAACCAACAGATAACCACTCTTATACTTACATCTACCCAAAAAAAAAAAAGAATTGACTTAAAAAGCACCATGAAATCATTAAGAATAACTACTTATCACCTCAACCACTTAAAAATTCTGTAACACAGACATAAAAAGCTCACAAGTAACAACGAAAGGATGGTAGACCGATTCTACCAAATTCTCACAAAAGGAATTGTTATTTGAAAACGTGTTACATGCAAGTATACATGTTCGTTATAAAGTAGCAAGTGATAAAAAGTAAGGATATCGTATCCACAGAGAGTGGAAGTCACTTAGGTTGATTTGTAAGTAACTATGTTTTGAAAATTAAGCATGAGAAGGATTAAAAATAATAGTTTATTGTCACAAATTCAGTTTTCCTTAAATCAATATCTTAACAATGCAGAGAGATTGTTGTGGATATATCAAGAGAGTGTAAGTTGAGCTATGATCCATTAATATGTACGAAATAATTATGTGTATGTGATGTGAAGTGTCATGCCTGAAAAGGTCAGTGAGTTATCTAAAGGTGTATTTCTAGAACATCAAAAACATGCATACTAGGACAAGAGAACAAATCTCTAAGTCTCACTTATAACTCTAAGATACATCTGTTTATTTCCTGAAATTCCTTTATAGTTGTAGTTTCTTATCTCTAAGCAAACTAAATGAGTGAATATTTATATCCTACTCATTCAACTACTTTTATTATGAAATCCACTTGTTTTTGATCTCTCACAACAACAAGTTTTTATCCTCTTCTAAGTTGATCAATCAAAGAATTAGGTTTAAATATGTTAACACATAATAAAACAAGACACTAACATCATATCATTTTAACATAAAAACAACATAATATTAACTTCTCATTGCTCAACAAACAAATGGTTTAGCTCATAATAAGTTGAGTACAACTTACAAAGCTCGTTCTGATAGGAAAAATTCTTAAATAAAAGATGAAAAAGAAATAGTAATCTAAGAGTAACGTGAAGCCTCCTTGTGATGGATAATCAACAAGTGATAACTCCATTCGTGCCAGACTTTAGCAGCTAGCACTAGAAAGATGAGAAGAAAAAACTCTCTTTTCTCTCCATTCTTCCTTATAATATTCTCTTCTGTGATTTTCTCTAAGGTGCTGAAATCTACTCGCAATCTTCGATAAGGTTTATTTATAAGTCTTTAGTTGGGGTTTATTTTACTTTGTCTTGGATCATGGGACCTTTGGAAATCACATAAAGCTCAATATCAAATTCAGCATATCCTCTTCTTTCCTTTAGCTTCGTTTGCAAGAAATCAGGTACAAGGACAATAGTGCGGGACAAAGTGTAGTGTGACAGTGTGCAATAGCAGGCGGCATTGTATGTTCTGTAAGGTGAGCTCCCTAGTTGATGTGCAATTATACCTTATTTTGTCTTTTAGTGCCATGGGTCTTATCCATTTAGCTCAAGGGAATTCCACCAACACACAAACAGATATTCCTTTCCGATACAACTTCTTCACCTCTGATTCCTTCATTTCATTCCTCAGCTAAGTTCAACTTTATTCTAGCTTGAACTCCTAAGCTCATCAGAACCATACTTAAAACAAGCAACAAACATATCAAAACAAATAAAGAGAGCACCTATTATGCTCTAAGCTACATACTATAGAAACAAATAGAATGCATTAAAGAAAATACAAAATGATAAATCTAATAGATAAAATAAAAATATTAGGCTATAAATAACTCACAAAATATGGGTTATCACACCCCCAAACTTGAATCAAAACCTGTCATCAAGTGATGCGAAAAATAACGACATAGAAATTATACCTTCCAACAACCACCCTTACCAACAGTTTTAATTCATAATTAACCCAGAATTCATCTCAGAGGACTATTACAAAATTTGGCACAAATCAACCCTGTTCCTATAAACACCCAAGGCTGAAGAGGACGGAGAGTGGATTTAACACTCGAGGCCGAAGAGGGTAGAGAGTGGTCTCCATATTCACATCGGAATGAGAGGGATCTTAAGGCTGTTCAGAGAAGAGACTGCATGGTTGGAGGAAGGCTTATCAGTATTGAATGATACTACATATACCAACAAGATGCATCTTCTTTTCGGTAGTCTAACAAATAAAAACTCCATAGTTAAGTGTGCTTGACTTAAAGTAGTATTTGGATGGGTTACCTTCTAAAATGTTTCTCGGAAAGCATGTGAGTAAGGAGAAAACATGCTGAAAAGATCTATGTTTGTTTGTGGGGTCAGTCAGTTATCCTGAAAGTAGTCTGAGGCGTTACAAATGGTATCAGATCAGACCTCTCCCAATACGATATGGTTTAGGGACGAACCAAGCGGAAGCTGGTGGGCATGTAAAACCCGAAGACAAAAGAGGGTGGATAGTGGATGTAACTCTCAAGGCCAAAGAGGGCGGAGAGTGGTCATTGGATTCACATCCGAATGAGAGGGATTCTGAGGTTGTGCAAAGATGGGACTGCTTGGTTGAAGGAAGGCTTATAAGGATTGATTGGTATATTTATACCAACAAGATGCATCTTCTTTTTGGTAACCTGACAAATAAGAACTCCATAGTTAAGCGTGTTTGACTTGGAGTAATATTTGGATGGGTGACCTTCTAAAATTTTCCCAAAAAGCGTGTGAGTGAGGACAAAGCATGCTGAAAATACCTGTGTGTGTTTATGGGTGTCGCAACTGCGAAAAGGGCTGGCGAAAACAAACAGAAGAGTCGCCACTGAACGTTATTTATCCCAAAGAGAGGGAAAGGAAACAATCGAAGAAAACCTAAAAGAACGGGAAAAGACAAGGTCATCGCAACTAAATCTTGGGTTCGGGAGTCAGTTACGCAAGGGGAAGGTATGAGCACCCCTCACGTCTGTTGTACTCAATGGGATCCATGCTTGTTGTCTAATCAAAAGGGTGTGTTAT